TGTGTCATTTGACCCGAGAGTTATGTTGGTTATACTGCATTTACTGTTCTCATATTTTGGAATAACTGTCTTTAATCAGAAGTGGGATACCGAAAGCTCTACAAGGCGCTTTGTTTTACCCGTGACTAGCTGCAGTGCATCCTACGTAGCTTGTCTTGGCTGATGTTTATTCTTATGCCTAGGCAAGTGTACGATTTTTTCGTAAGACGGCGAGTGTACAGCGAGAGTAGCATCGCCTGTTTGAGGTTCGTCCTTAGTAGTTGTTCTTCTACTCATTTGAAGTAGTTGGAGCTTTCTTGCTGGTAGGAATCCCGTTGGTTGCTAACGACATGCTTATTGGCTGACCACCATAACTACACGACAGGGTCGGGGGCGTACCCCCTGCAACAGGTCCCAAACCACCCTTTCCCTCCCCCTCCGCCCCCTCCGCAAACCCCACCTATCATAACCCACCCAATGGCCCCTACTAAACGGACCGTGTTACAACTGTGGATAATATGGGCATGGGGTGGAGGACAGCAGCTGTATTGCCAACCGGCAGCTCCCGTAAGTTCAAGGGGGCAGAAGAACTATTATGGGGGGACCGCACGTACCTGGCCCAAAAGAACCGATAATGATGACAGGATGGATAGGCTTTTTGCCTTTGTTGAGAGCCAAGAGCGAGAGAAGGAAGACAGAAGGGAAGCTGAGTTGGAGAAGAAAAGGCTAGAAGAGGAGAAGAAGAGACGGGAAGAAGCCAAGCAAAGGGAGGAAATGGAGCGCAGGCGCACACAAGATCTGGTAGATGTGCGAGCAGCGCAAGCCTTCAGCAGACAACTTCAGCAGCTAGAAGAAAGGATAAAAGGGCACGTACAAATGACTTTAAACTTTAGGCTTCCAGCTAAGGAGAACAATGATAAGAGACGGTGTGACAATTTGCTCAAATACATGCAGGAGATGGACAGGGGGGGTATCGAGGCCCATTCACAGCGGAAGGTTCTGGGCTGAAGAGGAGACTTGTTTTAGATGGTGAGATGCTACCAACCGATGACCAGGCAGAGTGCATCACCCCTCAGGTTATGAGAAAGAGGTCAGCTACAACGTGAGTTGGGAGGATCCCTGTGAGGGAAGAGGAGAAGAAGAAAGGAGCAGTGGCGTCATGCTCCAAAACAGGCGTTATAGATTTTGTCATGGAACTCAGGAAGAGCCTGGATGCGAAGAAGGTCACAGAGTTGAAGCAGATGTGCAAGAGTAAGAATATAAAATTTGTTGTAAAGGATCAAGCAGTTAAAGAGTTGGTGGCGATGGAGACCAAGCTTGCTTATGAGGGCTGGTTGGACGCAGCAGATATCTCAAGGAGTAAGAAGGAAGGTTCATCTGGAGTGGAAGCAACAGGGCGTACTAAGTGACGGTGCCGACCCCCAGTGAAGCTGCTCTGGACCAGGCTGTTGACATTTATGGGTCTCAGGGAAGCAGTCTGGGTGAATCACGGCATGACCAGGTTTAAGATTACAGTCGAACAGAAGATTATCACAGTGTTTCTACTCCTCACACTAAGTGCACAGGTACCATGGGCTGCGAATCTCCTACTGGTACCTAAGCATCATGATTTCTTTGACCTCTGCTGACCAACAGTATACTGCCTAGTCTCCCCGTGGTGCAGAAGAATGTATGTTGGGGAGACAACAACGGGAGCGAGTGAGAGGTGGTGGAAGCACATACAATGTGCCGAGTCGGATAACGAAGGGCATGCGCCTAAGCTGTGTGCTTTCCGGAGGAGGTTTGGCTGGGGAAAGTATCTGGTGCTCCCCATAGCGACGGCAGTAGGAAGCAATTTGCTGAAGCTTGAAGGCATGTTCATCGACAAACTTTCACCATCTCTCAACATGATCGACAGATTAGCGAAGGCAAGGAATAAAGGAAGACCAGGGTGCAAGGAGAGGTCAAAGAAGAAAATTGTTTCATTCAAGCAGAGGGATACCTTGATAGTCTTTACAGACTTGAGTTGCGAAAAAATGAACGCATGCCTGAGTGTTCTACTGGAAGAAGCGAATGCAGCAGGAGAGAATAGAGCGATGGTCGGTAGCACGGGCGGACAACTCTGGGGTGAAAAGTGGTCCATTCTCAAGCGGTTGTTTGATACTCGCACGGTGAGGAAAGCAGAAGGAAAATTACCCCTTGGGAAAGCTAAACGGGAGTTAGAGGAGGGTGCTATCTTCCAGATAGCCCCCCTGGTCATAACGGAGAACGCGAGACTGAGGGCGAAAGGATATCAGAGGCAGCTACTTGAGATGCCGAGGAAAAAGGCGGAATTGAAATTCTACAATGTCCCAAAGTTAGTATTCCTATACCGATGTGCGCTTGAGTTCAAGACTAAGATGATTAGGAGAACGTTGAAGGAGGTGATCACTGATGTCATAAGAAAGAAGATTGGGGTGGACGTCAAGAGGAAGGTGAATGTTAAGGTTACTTATAGCCGGGTGTTGAGGAAGAGAAAGGGTGCTTGCCAACCACTGTGCGTCGGCAAGAGAACCAGTGGTTGACTGCACCTGCAAGGAGTACTCTTTGCCGAGGGAAGAGGGACGTATTGCGAAGTATCCGGGGATACCAAAACTCCTCGGCAACGGGAAGAATGTTCTACCGCCTGAAGTCAGCACGGACCAGAACTTGCTAGTGAAGGAGGTCGAGCTGACACTCAATCGCGTCATGAGAAAGGAGGACCTGCCACTCACCGACCTGACAATGTTTAATGGCTGTGTCGCACTTGACGAAGAGCAACGGATGCAGTATATCAAGAAAGAGGCGCACGTGTTGGCCAGGAATCTGAGACACTTGGTCGTGGTTCCGGTGGATAGGAATCCGGGGGACTTAGTGGTGATGTGCCCAATGACTTATCATCACGACCTGAAGTTGTTGTTCTCACCGAACACAGCCTACCAGAGCGTGGTGGGCATGTCAGAGAAAGAGGTGCTTGCCTGGATGAGGAGGAGCTATAAGTTGAAGCAACTGGACAAGATTAGAGCGTGGAACCCAGCTGCGAGGATAGGCCAGGCCTATGTTCTTCCCAAGAACAAGGACCCCAACCGATGGAGGCCGATTGCTCCATCACGTGATGATGGAGCAAAGACAACCAGTAGAAGGCTGGCAAGATCACTGAATTTTCTGTTGGAGAAGGCGCCAGGGATCAGCATTGCAGTCTCAAAGCCACCTCACAGTTGAAGGAGAACCTTGAGAGAACAAGCAGACTGCGAGCTAAAGGCGGAGATGGTGACTTACCTATAGTGGCTAGTTACAACATTAAGGAGATGTTCACGTCTTTGCCGCACCCTGCAATTGTCAGCGCGGTGGACTGGTTGCTGTGGCAGTGGGAGGAGCGAGATGTTACATGGATTAGCCTTAGTCGGGGGGGGAATGTCATCACCCTTAACAAGAAGAGTTTGGGACCGGGGTATGTTGACCTTGAAGTTTTCAATGATTCAACAATTGGTCACCTTCAAACTGGAGAATACTTTCGTGATGAGTAAAGGGAGGATTTTTAGACAATGGATTGGTATCCCCATGGGGAAGAACTCTAGCCCACCGCTTGCCTGCACGCTGTGTGCCAGGTGTGAGGCGGAGCTCCTCAGCTCACTGGGCAAAGATCAGAAACTGGTGCATGGGGTCAGATTGGTGGACTATGTGACATTGGTAGTGAAATGTGACTTGTCAGTCCCGAATAGTGCAAGAACGGCGAAACGGATCCATGACATGTTTGCGAGTGTTTAAGGTGAGAAGCTTCTCCTGGTCCGGACAGATGATGGGTCTAACTCCTGGGACTTTTTGGGCACGCGGATCACGGCGCTACCATGCCCTACGTGTTTCCTGATCCGCACAAGGAGTAAGAATTACGAGGGAATCAGAAGAGGGGTGCTTGACTTCTGCTGTTTCCAGGACTATGGCTCGTACTCAGACAAGAAAACGAAAATTGGTGCGATCACAGCGACTTTCCACAGGATCCAGGAACATGCCAGCGAAGCACTCATGGTCAGCTCAACAGTGCTGGATATGAGTTATGAACTCAGACCTGGGGTAACCCTCAGGGCTCTTCTTCCATGCCATTGCGAGGTTTGCCAGGGCCACCAGCGCCTTCAACGAGGCATGGCAGATGCTCGTTGAAGGGCTGGTTCAGTTCTCTAAGGCCAGGGGCAGCTGCGGAAGAGCGGAGTGACATCACAAAGTGAGGAACGGGGTTGGATCGAGATAGGTGGGACCACGAAGGTGGAAAGGACCCCAGAATGCCTGGTGAGAGAGGTCTACAGAGGTGAAGGACGAGTTCCCAGTACCGGGCGTGAACCGGGTTGTAATTTACTGTTATATATTTGGGAGAGTAGACTAAGTGTAGGGGAGGGTAACCCGGATCAGAGCTACCGGGCTGTACACTAAGCATTGAGAAAATAGGGGTGGTAGTAGACTAAGTGTAGGGGAGGGTAACCCGGATCAGAGCTACCGGGATGTACACTAAGCATTGAGAAAATAGGGGTGGCAGTAGTAGCAGATAGCAGGGTAAGATGATGGGGCGGCCGCATAGCGAGTAGCATGTTGAATATCACGGGAAAAGAGGGGAAGGCGTCACTTCGAATATTTTTTTGGGAGCAAGCTAACGGGCATAGAGAAATCAGTTGTAGAATAGCACACGGGTAGAACATGCTACCGTACGGTAATATAGCACAGTCTGCAACGCATGGCAGCTAGTGTATCATAGGTAGTTATGCAACTGGCCGATAGGGAGTGACGAGTGGTGGTATAGGAGAGAGAGGAAAAATCGGGTAGGGGCTCAGACCCTACAGGGACTGTACATGGGGCGGGGAGGTACCTAGACGGAAAAATGGCCTTTTTGGGCTTACTTCGCACCCGACCGGGCTGTAATCTCCTTGAAGAACCAGTGCACGTGACGAGTGAGGATTGAGTGCGGTGGAGGTGTACGCCCGAGGCTCTTGGGAGAGTGCAGGCGAGACGATCCCGTTCTGTTACGAATAGTGTAGGGAGTGCCTACGTCAGTTTGTTACTTGTGCATAGCGAGCGTGAAGGTATATGTAAGAGGGCAAGGCCAGAACGGCCCTATATGCTCACGGCGGTCCGATAGGGGGATGTGTGCGTTCATGAGCGTCGTGTCCATGCAGGTGTTCCTATGATGTTTTCATAAGCGTGGACGTTTGTGGTGATTGGCCTCGCTACTTCAACTATTCTACTTCCCCTTCCTCTTCTTCTTCTTCTTCTTCTTCTTCTTCTTCTTCTTCTTCCTCTTCCTTGCGCCGGCTGAGACCGGCCCTTCCTTTATCTTCGTTGTCCATATTGGGATGTCGGCAGGCTCGTTCATTCTCTCCTCCTCCCAGTCCCCCTTCCTCTCGACATCGTGTTGATGCTAATCTGCGGGGGTCTTTGTCTTACTGACAGCCTGCTCTGCCACGTCGACGACGTTCACCATTTACGCGCCGACCCCGCCAGATCAGATCTGGCTTTCCAGTGGTGACCATACTTGCAAGCGCACGACGTGCGCGAGTTTCCCGACGTGCGGCGCACGAGGTGTGCGGGGAACGCCCCCCCC